GAAACCTGAGTGTCACAATTTGATAAACACAACCAATGCTGCACTTCTGCCATTTGCATCTTACCTATTGAGCCATGTGTCGTGGGAGTGGCAAGGATGGTGACTCAGAATTAGACTTCCAAATTGCTGTATCACAAAAGTTATACCACAAGATTTTTAAAATTATAAAGCATGTACAATCATATTTCTTTCACTAAAAATCATTAGTAATAACTTTTTGTTGAGAGTGAAATGTTTCAGGTCTATTGATGATGCAAGGTTAAGCCCTTCCCCCACTTCTCATTGCCGTTTGTGCTTAGCTGCAAGCCCACCAGTGGTTGGCTGCACCTTTGCAGGAGTGTTCTCATGCTTGTGTTTTGGATAGAGTTGCTCTAAAATTGTGTTTCTGGTCCCTTGTACTTTCTATTCTTGTCAACTGATATCAATCTTAGCAGCTTTTATGCATGCACACATGCACACCCACCCAGTTCCATGTGGCAAAGCAAGGAGGTAGATGGTAGTCTGCCATTCTGTTGCAGCCTTTCCTACACGACCTTGTACAGGAGTGTCATGGGGAGCCAAATATTTGTGGACAGGGCCAGGAACCAAACATCCAGACTAAAGAGTCCAGTTCCAGATCTTAGACTGGATCGTAATTGGGAACAGGGTTGCTATTCGTACACGACTAGTAACAGGCCCTTTAACTCTCATTCTCTGCCGTATCCCTACCTTTGTAAAATATTGGAATGAAAGTAAGCCTACTGAATGAGCAGCTTTACCAGAGGAATGTTTGGATAATGAAGAAAATAATTTTCCTTTAATTCCAGGTGCCAACAAACAAAATTTGATGCTAAAGACTACAAGCATGTTGTCATTGTAAGGCTTTCTTCCTTAGAAACGGCGTCATAAATAGTAACTTTTATTATCAATGGGAAGTTGTTAGGAAGTAAATATTCATTAAAAATTTTTTATGCTTGAGAGGATTTTAACATATTCAATGTTCAACATGAATAGAATATCCTATATTTAAAATACTTATGTCTAATAATAGCCCTCAGAAATATTGAATCTTTCTTTTGTGAGTTAAAATAGTAATTTTCCTAATTTGATGTCGTTATCATTATTATAGCTAACATTTATCTGAGTATTTACTATGTGCCAGATAGTTAAGATCTCTTCATGTATTAATAGTCACTTAATACCCACAAGATCTTTTATAAGGTAGGAATAATTATCCTCATTTTATTGAGAATTTACTATATTTCACATATTTGGTATGCCTGGTATATCTATTTTACATGGTATATTTACATTGTATATAGAGAGAAATGAAGTATTTCTATGGTTATATAATTTAAAGTCAGGGGTTTTTGTTTCCCAGTTACTTACTAAAAAATGTAAATAAAAGATTTACTATTTTGGCATCGAGGCCTTATGACGTTCTTCTCCTAGCATCAGGTTCCTAAGGCTGCCATTTTCCCTGAAGTCCAATTTTAAGTTAGTCTCAGCTATATAAAAATGTATACATAACAAGTTAGAGAAATAATATCCTAGTCCTCAAGTGACAGCCACCTATTTGTATCTCAGAATTTTTAATATTCTGAAACACTTATACTTTTCCTTAAAATGGGTAGGATGTGAAATTTTATGTGTTTGGATTCTCTCATCTTATGTTGATTATAAATGCTATAGACTATTTCTAAAACAAAAGGCTGTTCTTGTCCAGAAACCATCCTTTGTTCTGTTGCTCATGTGAGCAGGTGAGCCCCACTGAGCTACATCTCACCGCATGGCATAGTGAAAATCCCCTGGGCCGGGGATGACTCGGGATGAGTTCTCAAATGCTGGGCGTGCTGGACACACTATCATGCTATTCTGTTGTTGTTTCCTGACGTAGAAAGGTGTGATGTTTTAATATGAGAGGGAGGTGTGTTGTGATAGTTACCTTTAGGAGATTCATAGGGAGGTCATGAGATGCTTGCTCCCTCCACCTCCCACCCCGTCAGTTGATTCAGACTATTTCCATTTCTTCTGCCAACTTGGCACCTTTCCTTTATGTTAAAGAGTTGGATTTTTCACTGGCATCCTTTATTGCGTGGTTTGAATCACTTTTTAATACTGGAAGTTATTCTTTATTCCTCAAAAGATCTGTGGCTTCTTTGAATAACTTTGTGATTTCACTGACACTCCTCCATACCTTCAGTTCTGAAAGAGGTTTTCATTTTAGAAGAGTATGGTATATTTTATACATATTAATACCATGAAACATGCTTTCTGTATTTATCACTGTAAATGCTGCTGCTCTGAAAAAACGTATAGTAAGTGTTATAAAAAACTGCTTTCATCTCTCAAATGAAATACTGCTTTAAAGATTTTAGATGCTTAACATTCTAAATCCTAAGCAAAAAATAGATTATTGTTATATTCTTCTTAGTGTTATAAAGAAGTAATATGTGGTTTCTTTTAATACTGTACAGAATATTAGAATTTAGCTATTAAAAGTAGATCAAAGAAGGAGCCAAAATAATCATGACTGTGTTCCATCCACCATATAAAACTTCAGATGTAACTTCTCAAAAAAGCATTTTATTTTTTTAAAAAAAGGTTTGAAGGAATATCATTTAATTATTTATTCCTTTTGGAATATCGTGTATGTAAGAATTTGTGAAATATGTTTCTCCAAATTTAGGAAATGGGATAATTTTTTAGATGTTGAACTTTTTTATCCTTAAATATTAGAGGCCAATTCTATTGTGACTTCCAGTGAAATAATAATCCAGGATGCTATTACTGACGGAAGGGTACTTTTTTTATTCAATAAACATTTCAGAAGGCATGTTTTTCTGCCTTTTATACATTTTAGGTCCCTAGACAACAAGGACATATGTATACGAACCTCCCCATCCCAGATTGTCTCATTAAGATCTTAGTGGAGACTTTAAAAATGGAGCAATAGTAATGCCACAATGAAATTCAGTAGTTTATCATTTTTAGAGGGCTTTCTTATATTACATGCAATGTAGTTGAAGGGTTAACAGAATTGGCTTTGCTTAAAATTTTTGATTTTCTGAGTTTTACAACAGTTTTGGAAGTAGGCAAGATAATGACTCTTTTTCGCATTTCGTGGAGGAGATGGAGGTGCAGAGAGGTGACGTGCCTGCCCAACAACATAGAGCTAAGTAAGTGGCAGAGTGAGGGCCAGGCGAAAATAGGACTTGTGAGTCCTGTCCACTGTTTCAGTGGAAAAGGTGAAAGAATTTATAAGAGTGGAGACAGACTTGGCATAGGAGGAGCTAGATATGATTTTATAGTTTCTGATTTTTACATACTTTTGAAACCCAGGGAAATATTTTGTGTTAGTATTAGCTATAAGCTTACCTTGAAATGACCCCAATTTGGGTAAGGTAGGTTTAGGACGTGTGAGATGTTCCCAAACATGAGGGCACGCCATGTTTGTTTAGTATTAGGTAATAGAATCACTTTTGTGTAAACAGCTATGCTTTTGCTTCCTTTTTTGACTTAAAGTATGATTAATAATTTATTCATTAGAATGTTAAGATTATATTTTCCCAAATATCTTCCTCCTCTCCTGTAAGGTATTCTATGCCAATACATGGCTTCAACTTGTGGGTTTTTAAAAATCTTTTTCAGTTTTTCATTCATTTATTCAGTCGGTCAGTCGTTCAAACGAGTGCTCACTGTGGGCCACTGTCATCCCTGAAGATACAGAGATGAGTAGGCTTAATAGCTGGCATAAGGAGCTCCTCAGTCTAGGAAAGATAAACATGTGAACTCATATATTTCTGCTAAAGCAATAAATGCCGAGGAGAAGCAAGGATGAGGGACCTACAAGGAGCCAGAGTAGAAGTTAACACTGCTTTTAGCCCCACGAGAGGTTTCTGGAAAGAGATGGTGTCTGAGCTGGATTTTTTAGGGCAAACAGGAATTTGATAGGCAAAAAAGGTGTGAATTTTCTTACTCTTACCTGCAAATAACTAACCTGTGTCTCAGACGTTATGTACGTTGTTTCTTATTCTTTGTTCACCAAATTATTATTTCATATCCATTTAGAATTGTTCAAATATCTAGTTCTCAAAGCTTTCCCAAATCAGACTCTTCAGATTGAATATAACTTGGAAATTCTCAGACTGTCTGCCGTTCTACTAAGTTGTGGCTGTGATTGGAAGATTTTTTTTTCTTGTAAATAATATAACACTATATTTGAATATGTCTTTGAACTGTTTGATTTTATTTTGCTACATTTGAAGTATTTAGAAAGACTTTTTTAAAAAAGGTATAATAGTATTCTTGGGCTTAAAATTCACTACAGATTGCTTTAGAAGAAAAAAATTCTGTAAAATATGATTAAACAATAATATGGAGGTCCGACAATCACCTGAATATTATACTATTTAGAGGAGAGAAAAATTTACTAGCACTTGCTTGTGTCATTTATTTTATTTTATGTAGTCTAATGCAAGAGCATTCCTCTGTTATATGAATGAAAGTAATTATGCTTATCTTACAATGTAGGAATCACATTATTTACTCTTAAAAAAATCACAGGATTATTTCAACTCCTTTTGTTTCAAAACATATGTTTTTTTAGGTGGGTTGAAAATTTTCTAACTCAGCTTATTTGGAAATATCTTGCTTATATATGCATCTGTTGTGTGTCTTAAGATTGAAATTTAGGTCAAATTACAACTTGAATTTAACTTTACAAAGAAAATAAGTGTGCCGTCTTTAAAAAGTGCGTTCTAAATTTTAAGCACAATAGATCAAAGTACATCTTGTTTAAATAAATACTCTGGAAAAGAAATCTCAATTATTTTCTCCCAAACTTTCTTAAAATACTCACTGTTCTCAATATAAAATGTAAGGTTTAGCTTTATTATTTTAAAGAAAGATGAAAAGTTGTTTATTTTAAAATTTTAATGATTTTGCTTCCAAATTATGGGAATTCTCCTTTGGGGACAGCTTTATTTGAATTGTATGTGACATTGTTTTTATTTCTTAAGGCTGTGATTAAAAGTTTCATGGATGTCTACCAGCTTGCGAGCGCTCGAATCGCTACATTAGAGAAGGAAATGACATCTCATCGAAGTCACATTGCAACCTTGAAATCAGAACTTCACACAGCTTGTTTACGTGAAAATGAAAGTTTACAATCAGTAAGTCCTGCATATGTTTTTCTTCTTTGGATCTTGGGTTACATTTACATTCATGCTTTTATTGCTCATAAGATCACTCTCCAATATATATAATTTAGGGTAAATGATCAATCAAACAACATAAAATTATTAGTGTGGAGAAAATTTTGAAGGAAGAAAAGCAATTAATTTTTCCATTGTAACGTGTGTAAAGATATGCATATTGTTATCAATGCTAAAACACTACATCAAGATTCCTTTGTGTTTGGCAGTGCAGCTGACAGTTGGATTTGGCAGTATGCATAGTTAAATCTTGCAACTGTCTGAAGATTCAGTGTGTCCCATTAAGACAGAATATTATTAATTATGCGTATAACCAAAATGGTAATTAGAACATGTGATTATTCTCTGTAGAAAACTAGACTTATCCATAATACATGCCTAGCTAAAGATGCGTGTTGTGATTCATCTATATGATTAAAATTCAGTTTCAGCAGTCATTTTATATCTTAAAATTTTAGCCCATGATGAAATTTGGGCTCATTTAAGACTAAACAAAATTTTCTACATTTCAAATATGTGTTTGGGGAGTATCAAAAAATGAATATATTTGTGACATAAAGGAATGAAAGAAACATTTGAACTTTTTTCTCAAAAAGGAGATATATCAATGGTAAGATTCAGAGGGTTACCTATAATTGGACTGTCTTTTTTCCTTTGGGTTTAAGTACAATGGATCAGGGTAACTTGTAAGGGAAAAGCAATATCATTTTGCTATTCAGCTGTTGACCCATTTCAAATGATATATTCAACAGAAGAAGAGTTAGCAATTAAAGAAATTAGATGTACAGCTATGGTTTGGTTCTTCAGTTCCTTGAGTTCTTGGCTCAAGTGTCAGCATCCCAGGGAGACCCTTATGACCACAGTGTGTAAAACTGAGACCACCAACCCTCTTCCCTGACCCCTAAAACTGTCTCATTCTCTCCCCGTATTGCTTATCTACCTGCCACCTTCCTTGCTTTATTTTTTCACTATAGCACTTACCATCATTTGATATATAGTGTATTTTATTTATTTGCTTTTGGTTTGCTCCCTACCCTCAGTAGATATAAGTTGCATAAACACAAGAAATTTTGGGTGTTTTCTTCGCTGTTCTGAAGGAACTCTAGATCCAAGAACAGTCTGGCCCACGATAAGTGCTCAACAAATGTTTACCGAGTGAAAAATAGTAGTAATTTATTCAGTAAGTGAAGAAACCGGTTATTTAAGACATGAGATATGAACTTCAGTCTTTTAAATGCCTTTGTTAATTTCTTAAAGACAGAATAGTAAATTTGACTCCACCAAGAGAAATTAAAATGAAGAGGAAACTTTTTTGAAGGTTTGAACAAGTATTTGGATTTTATTCTAGCCTTTCTTTGAAACACATCTTCCTGATCCTACTGGTTAATAATATATTATATAGTTCAAGTCATGTCAGCTTTGTTGGGTCTAACTATTATTTATTGTTTGTTGCTGTTATTCATATAAAAATAATTACTTGTATTTTAAGAAAGGCCATACTTGATAAGGTGGGATTGTTTCCCCATGGGTTCAAAAATTTTTTTACCAATTATTATGCTACTGAAGTTTTAGTGGAGGTGTCCTTAATATACTGCACTGTCATAATAAATTTCTGCTTCTATACTTTTTTTGTTTTCCTTCTGAACACATCCTGAGAATATGCTCATCATCTCATTAGTGAGAAGTGGTTCACCCTGGCAGTGATTCTCAAAGGGAATGTATGTAATGTGAAAAATTTCTGATGTGTTTGTCTAGAAGAATGTCGCCCAATCCCATGTCTCTGTGAGATGTATGTTCTCTGGTCTCTTCCTTTAGTTGAAAATCACTATTTTTAAAACAGTAATGCATTTGTATAATAATTGTTATTCTTCAAGATGTTTGTATATACATTTTCTAGTTTTAACTCCTTAAGAGCTCTCTGAGGGAGCTAGAACAGCCTTAATCTCTGTATTTCATAGATGACAGGTGATATAGTTTGGTAGATAAGAGCATGGGCTTTGGAATTATATCCATTAGGAGTACAATCAAGCATAAGTAACAGGAAACCTGACTAACGTGACTTAAAAAATACAGATTTTTTTCTCACATAGCAAGAAGTCTAGAAGTAGATGGCTATTGTCATAGTCTGGTGGTTCAACTTCTCTGTAATTTCTCTGCCACTCCCTTTTGTCATAAGACAGCAGCCAACTCTAGGATTTGCAATCACATTCAAGTCAGAGAGATGGGATGGCCCAGCAATTTCTGTGCTATATATATATGGCTTTCCATTAAAAATATATTTAAATATTTATATTATATATTTATTTAAATATTTATAAATTTTAATGTAAACTTAATAGATAACAGATAGTAAATACATATATAAATATATGTTTAAATATTTATATGTTTAAAAAGGGAAGGCTTTCCAAAGAAGCTCCAAACATATTTGCACTATGTCCCATTAGCTGGAAATGGGTCATGTGGCCACCCCTAGCTATAGTTAGTCAAAGGATGAGAGAATGAGGAATAAATGGGTATTGCGTTAACCAATTAATAGTGTGTGCCATAGAAGTCAGATAAATCCAGATTCAAATTCCAGTTCTGTCAATTGCGAATCATGTGTCTTGTGTCTCAGATTTTCGTCAGTAAAATGGGGACAACAATACCATTCCCTAATAGAGATGTTGGGAGGTCTAGTGCACAGTGTTAAAGTACTTTGAACTTTGCCTCACGCTTAGTGAGTAGTCCCCCCCGAAAAAGTTAGCTATTATTTTTATCACCACTATCTTGCTAGAAAGTAATTGGATTGCACCACAGGAAAAGATTATTTACAAGCCTAACATCTTCAGCTGCACACCTTGTCATTTTGTTCAGCTTCCTACTGTAGCCTTGAGCATATAACTCCTCATCTATGATCAGCATCAGTATATTCCAATGGATGAGCTCTCTGCCCTTTCCGCAGCCTGTCTCCCTCTCCTTTCATTGACACATGCTTGAAAAGGAGTCTATCCTTGCTTCTTCTGTATACTCACCTCCCATTTACTCCTGAGCTTTACTGCTATCTGGCTTCGGAGTCTATCATTCCACTGAAACTGTTTTCTCAAAAGTCACCAATAATTTTCTGTTTGCTCTGTCTCTTTATTAGTTCCTTCTCATCCCTTTTAATCTTTCTGCAACATAGGAAGCTTTTAACTACTTTCTTCCTTAAACACTCATGTTGTTCGTTTCACTTGTTATAGACTTGCCCTTCATTGGCTCTCTTGCCTCTACTTGCTTGAACTCTTCCTTCTTTATATTATTGTTTGTTAATTCTTTTCTTTATCCATCAGTTCTGTATTTATTCTGCATCTATTCTGTGGCAGGCACAGTTCTGCTCTTGGGGATGTTGTGTGAACCAAGACAGATAATTCTTGTTCTCGTGAGCTTAAAATCTAATAATGGAAGTAATTATTTTCTTGGAATCACACTAATTAAGGTGTAATTACTAACCAAGATAAGTGCACTGAAAGAAAAAAAGCTTAAGTGTATAAGCATTTTTTAAACAAATGAGTCTGCCCTAGACTAGTGTATCAGTTGTATCAGTAAAGCCTTTTCCAGGTCAGTGATGCTTGAGCTAATATCTGAAGACTGGGTAGGAGTTATCCACGGGTGGAAGAGAGTAATGTTCCAGACCAGGAGGAGGGGACTGTGAACATCTACAAAGTCTCTGGAATGGAAAGAAGAACTCAAGAAAGACCGGTGTGGCTGAAATAAAGAGAGCAAAGGCAAGGGTAGTCTAAGATGAGAATGGACTGGAGAAAAGGGCAGAGGTCAGACTTTGTTTTCTTAGTCCTAAGAGCAAGGGTAAAGTCATTGGAAAATGTTAAAGAAAGAGTGATGTGCTCAGATTTGCATTTAAAAAAATCATTTGGCTATAGTGTGAAGAAACACTTGGATGTGAAGAACAAGAGATGGGGCGTGTCAGACAATTTCTTGGTTTTTTGCTTTTGGAAATGGATCAATGACCTCATTTATTGAGGGGGAAACAATGGAATAGCAGGGGATATTGTGAATTTAGTTTTGAGTATGTTAAGTTTGAGGTACATTGAGACATCCAACTGGAGATGTCAAAAAAGCTGCTTGATATGAAATTCAAGCAAGATGGCAAGCTGGAGATATAAATTTTAAGCATTGTCATATAGGACTTGAAACTGTTGGAAGAATGGGACTATATAGGGACAGGTTATAGAGTAAGAAGAGAAAAAGGCCTAAGAATGAAACTTGAAAAGCTCCAACAAATAATGCTTGAGGATAAGGTTGCAAAGGAGGCTGTGAAGGAACAGGCCAAGACATAAGAGGAAAACCAAAACAGTATGATGCCGTGAGAATAGAATATTTTAAGAAAGATGACATGTTAATAGTGTCATATGCTGCTGAAGATCAAGTGAAATGAAGATTGAGAATGGCCTTTGGATTTAATGCTTGGAGGCCCTTCGTAACCTTAGCAAGGGCTCTTTCAGCAAGAGGTGGAGAAAAAAGTGGGAGTTGACAAAAAAAAAAAAAAAAAAAAGAGTGAATTTAAACAACTATCTCAAGGATTTAGCTGTTAGGTATGAGATATAGGAGTGGAGTGTTCAGAAGATTAAAGGAGTTCTGTTTTAAGATGGAAGTGACTTGAGCGTGTTTCACTGTCTTCTTAACTATAGGCCTCCAGAAGTTTGGTTTTGGCCCAGTTCACTATTCTGTCCATTTTTGTAGTTTCAATGCTTACCTTTTCACATGCCAGCTTTCTTTTGACTAGCATTTGCATGACTTATTTTTTTCTGTCCTTTTCTTTTAACCTATCTATGTTTTATATTTACGGTGGATTTCTTGTTGAAAGACATAGTTTGGTTTTGGTTTATTTACCCATTTTACAATCTCTGACTTTTAATTGGGTGATTAGACCATTTACATTTAATATAATTATTGACATTTTTGGATTTTTGTCTACCATT